GAGGGGCTGTAGGGAGTGGAAACCTCTGTGCCCGGAGAGGCGGGGGTTTGACCTTTGAGTAGATGGCAAGGAGGAAGAGGAGAAGGGTACTGATGGACAAGTGGGACTGCAGGCACAAAGTACACCTGACTGAAGGCCTGTGTACACTTACTGGATTTTCACCTTTAGACCTGATCTGCAAAGTCTCACTACTGCCACAAAAGCCAGATACAAACAGATTTGTAAAGCAGGGTCTACCCTGCAGCTATCACTGCCACAACTAAACTAGCTCACGTGGGTACCGCTAGCAGCGCAGTTGTGGCAGCACAAAGGTTAGAATCGGGCTGTAAAAAACTTGCCCATAAGGCTAGGTCAGTACATAGGTTAGTGGACAGAGTTTTGTAGCAGTAAAATTACCAGCAACAGGGAGTTAACATGTATAATGACAGCTAGACTGCATTTGCACACAGGGACTGTACTGTAACCACCTCCAGTGCACCACCATTACGCCAATCTACTCTTATGTGCAGACACTCTTGAACAAGTCTATGCAATATTAAAGCTCCTCACATATACCAAATTGAAAACAAGGTAGTTTAAAACTGGCATTAAAAAAACAAAACAAAACAAAACATAAATTTGCATGTGGACACACAAAACTGACTGGCCCTTTGCTTATTACTGAAACCAGATGGGCACCAGTCTCAAAAGAAGAATGTACTTCATGGTCTTGCAGATAGCTCCTGCCACTTTCTGTATTTACAGTTTTCATATTTTCCTGGTATCAAGGCAAACCTAAGAACATGGTTGATTCTTGTAAATAGCGTGTGGTCAACTACCAACACAACAGAAGGTACGCTCGCACCCAAGATGTTCCTAAAATTGCTTATGTATTATCCCTAGTTTCCCCCACCAAAATGTAAATCACTTAAGGACCACATTCATCTGCTTTTAAAAAGCAAATGTGCCATGTTTCCATTTCAGTTGGTGCGTTCTATCCTTATCAGATGAGTTCCACAAGAAATAACACCTGCCTCTCTTCAAAACTATTTTCTAAATTAAAAAACACACCACTTAAAAGAAGGTGTTCCTTAGGTACAAGAATCCTGGCTCCCCTAAAACCACTAGTGATACAAAAAGAAATAAATACAGTAACAGGTTCAAAAGAAAAATATGCATATGAAAATGTGTTACAAAATGTCATGAGATGTATGTCTTAATATGTGTAGTACCACTAAAACCCTTGAAACAAAGCTTTTACTATCTCATCACATATCAGCAACACTATATATACTGCACAGATTTTAGAAATTACTAGGTGCTTATCCCATGTTCCTGGCTTCTGCGGTTCAGACCTTGATCTAGGTTAAGAGTTAAACACTCATCCCAGTTCAGCCTAATGCACTTTATTTCTAGGGCAAAATGCTGATGGTTTGTCAGGTGCACAGTACGGCCTCTCTTCAGATCAGGAATAATATCAGAAACTCACTGCTCTTCTCCCAAGGATGAAGTCCATGGGGTTCTGTAAATATGTTGTAGATATGCAGTAATGTCAGCTGCAGACTTTGCCACCATCAGATTCCATGCTTATCGTACTCTTTGGTCTCAGAAGCAAATAGAGCCACCAAAATTTTAAAAATCAGATAGCAGCTGGAATAGACCTAAACTCATTCACAGAGCAGAGAGGCAGCAAACTCAAACACCTGGTTGTGCTGGGGTATATGCTTACGGCACACTATCCTCATGCTTGTCTGAGAAGTGATAAAAATGCCCATCCTGAAAGCTGGGCTTTCAAGATCGATGCAACTACTACAAAGGATATATATTTTAAAAGGCAAAAGAATGTGTGTTTCCAACTTTATCAGCCAATACAGTATGAAAAAAAGTCTTACTGCCATGCAGACCCAGCTTGCTACAACTCTCTAGGTCAGCTCCTGACGCCAAAGCCCACCAGCTCAGCGCACAGAAGTTTAAAGGCAGCTCCCCTTCTGGAAAAGGACGGGCTTGGGCAGCAGCACACCAGATGAGGGAGGGAAGAAAGTCCTCCAGACATCGAGCACCAGTAACTGGAGCACAAGAAACAATCAGATGGTCTGAGACCAGTAGGTTTTTCAGGTGGAAATTACTTCCTGCTCCAGTAGAAAAAACAAGAAGGAAAAAATCCTGTCAGCAGCCTTACACTGAAATCCTCAAAGGTCTCTCTAGTGTTCTGCTGTCTGCCACAGGTCCCTTCCAACAGAAAACCTGGGGCCTGAGATCTGTCACATCATCTTACAAATGAAGCACTTGGAAGAGTAATACATGCTGAACAAATAGACAAGCAAATAAACTATTCATTGTTTAATAATCCATCAGGAGATAGAACGTAGTATGCAAACTTCCAGTTCCAAGTAAATAAAATGACAGCAGGAATAACTTTGGTATTCTAATTCCTTACCCCTACAACAAAAATTATTTTTCTTGTTCTTCCTTAAAACCATCCCACCTGATCACTACAAGAATTCACTGTGTAGCTCTTACTCCCATGAGAAATGTTTCTGCAAAGCTCACTTTTACATCTGAAACTTGCTTCGTCTCATGGATACAATAGCTAATTTTGGACTTACCCTACTCCTGCTGGGCCAGAGTCGTCACTGGCATAGCTCCACTGTAATTCAGTCTGCTGATGCATTACAGACAATGCATAACATGATCTAATCCTTAATGATGTCTTTTCCCCCCTTCTTCCCCCCAACATACTTATTTGACTAAACAGTAAAATGACATAAGTAGATTAAAAAAAAAAAAAAACCAAACAACCAAACAAAAAAAACCAAACCCACAAAAAACCCCAAACTAAAACCTTACTAAAATGGTCTTGCAAACACTAATTTCAAATGACACGATAAGCAGATTCACAGATACATTAGGACAAACAGCACAGTCCAGAGAAGATACAGCTCTTAAAGTCACAAGGCCTGGTTACAGCTCCAGCTCTGCCATTGACTTCTAGACAAGCTGTTTTGCATTTCCACACCATTCCCCAATCTCTGCTATACAGATATTAATCACTCACTGTGTTGCTCAGTCCAGCACAGACCAACCTAACCACATTCATTTGAATCTCTGTAACATACATACTGAACAATAATAAAAGTACATACTAAGTGTTGTGTTTAAACACTAGTGCCAAGACATAAGGTGTTACCATCAAAATATGCTAAGACTTCCCCCATACCCAGGTTTAAGATCTGCAGGATCCAGGCCCTGTGTCACAAGAGAACATGAAATGTTTTAATTTCTGTACGGATTTTCTTTAAAAAAGCAAGATCTAGGAGAAATAGGCATTCACTTCTGCACAATAGGAACAGCTAGGATGATCTCTGTGGGTGACATCTGCTTGTGTTGTTACTTATTTTCAAGCTTTAAAATTATTATTCTAAACTAATGCATCCTACTCCACCCAACTCCTTGCTTCCTTTGAATCATAAAATATCAAAACCTTCCTCCTTTATCTAAATCACCTTGTTACTAGTGAAAGAAGTACCAAGAGGCTTCACGCTCTGCTCCCTAACAGGTCCGCATCAGCTAGACACAACACCCAGGTCAAATCAGCAGGGGTGCTCAAGTCATTTTCTTCTTTTGAAATGGTAAGTATTTCAGGGAAGTAGTTTAAATCGGGTATTATCTATGCGGAAGGCACACTGCTTACCAAGGATTTAAAAATATAGGTTTTAAGGCATTTGTATCTGGTGGCAGCTCTACAGGTTTTGATTACTGCTTCAATTAGGCAAAGCCAAAGTAACTCTAACAAAGGCTGAGAGGTCTATTTGCATTACTGGCCAAAATCTTAGCCACAGTCATCCACCACCAAAAAGATAAGAAGACTTTATTTTTCCTTTAGAAAAACACTACAGTTGTTGGAAGAAAATTTTAGGAGTTCCAAATATCCACATTTCTAAGCTACTTGCTTCACGTTTTCATGCAACAGATGCTGCTTTGTATTAGCTACTGCATATTAAATCATTCTGACAACCAAGAAAGCATACATTTGTTTGCGCGCAAGAGAAGCATGAATACACACACACACAGATATCTTCTCACGCAGAAGCATACAATTATGCAGCATTCAAATATTTGGGATGAACTTTGGCCTTTGTTAAAAAAAAAAAAAAGTACCCTCAAACAACAATCAGTAACAGAATCAGCAGTCATCTGGCTGAGCTCACAGAAATCAACAAATCTTCAGCAATAAAACACCACTTGTGGCCAGCTATTTGAAAGTTACTTGGAAAATTTTTCTTAGATGGGATACTTATATACGTGTCCTTTATGATTTATAATTGTCTTATGGCTCGATCTCAGAACAGAGGCTAAAAATAAAATCTATGTTAATTCAAAAAATGGAAAAAAAAACATCAGTTATATTCACCCTCCCGTGCTTTTTTTGCACTCCAAACAATCCCCTTCAGCTCTGCCGTTTGCATTCTCGATTTCAAAAGTAATTTGAAAACATATTCACAGCAGGGCTCTAAATCACCTCTTCAGAGTAATATCTGTCTAGCTAATATGGAAGAAACCAAGCAACCCAAACAAAACCATTTTCCTGATACATTAATCAAAAGAAAATCTTAATGTAATAGTACTAGAGAACACGCTGAAACTTTTGACAATAAGAGTATCCACAGTAAGTATAACTGTAATGCAGAGCGCTTCTAACTTTTTTTTTTTTTTTTTTTTTAAATCTCGGCTGGAGACATATTTTCTCCCCTACATTCTCCTCTTGTTACTAGACAGTAATCCAATTCTGTAGGCAGTTATATTTTTTTTTTTTTTTAACTATATATAGAGCCAGGATAGAGCATGCAGGAGAGGACTAACACCGCACCGAAGTGCAGCGGGGCTGGAAAGCAAAACAAGCCCCTCTCGCAGGCTGTGCCAGAGCATGCCGAGTCCCTGGGGAGAAAGCTGCTACCGAGGGGCCCCCCAGCACCCCCGAGGAGCACCCCGGTGCCCACCACCCCCCCCCCCCCCTTGCCTACCTGGGGATGGTGATGCACTTGGTGTTGATGTTCTGCGTGGTGATCGCCTTCTCCAGCTCGTCCAGCTGCCCCGTCTTCTTCAGCTTCTTCACCAGGCTCTTCACCGCCTTCTCGCACCATTTCTCCTCCTGCCCGTTCTGCTCCCCTTTCTTCCAGCCCAGGAGCCGCTTGACGATGGGAGGAGTGAAAGGCAGGATGGAGGACATGCTGGCTCGCCCGGCAGCGCCCCGCCGCTGGCTCCGCGCTTGTTTTTCCCCCCCCCACCCCCCCACCCCCCTACACACACGCCCGGCTCCGCGCCGCTCCGCGCCGCTCCGCGCAGGCCCCGCCGCGCCGCGGGCAGCACAAAGCCCGGCCCCGGGCGGCGGTAGCCTGGCCTGGCCCGGCGCCGCGCCTCTCGCCCGCTCCGCCGCTGCCTCAGCGCCTCGGGCCCGCGGCACCAAACTTTGCCCGGAGTTCGCCGCCTCTCCTCCCCGGCGGCGGCGGCAGCAGCTCCCTCCTCCCCCTCCTGCCCCGCTCTGTGTGCGCGGAGAGGCGCCCACTCCAGCTCATTCCCAGTCTGTCTCTCATGCAAATTGCCTGCTGGCCGCCCCGGCCCGGCTTCCACCCCCTCCTTCCCTCCCAAACACGCTCCCTCACGCCGCCGAGGGAGGGCGGGGAGGCGGCCGGCCCGCCGGGAACTCCGCGGCCCCCCCCCCTCACCCTCCCCGCTCCCCGGGGTTCTCCCTCCCTCAGACCCGCTCCGGCTCGGCGCCCCCTCAGCGGCCTTCGCGCCGCCATCCCCCCTCGGAGCGCAGGGCGGGAAGCTGCCCCTCAGGGCCATCGCGGCGGGAAGGAGCGTCTTCACCCCGCACCGGGCGACTCCGCGGGGGCTCTGCTCGCCTCAGCCGCGCTTCCCCTCGGCCTCCCCACAGCCCGGCGGGAGGGCAGCGGTGCGGGTGCGTTCTCCTCGGGTCCGTGGGCTCACAGGGAGGGTCAGCGCGGCCATGAAACCCCACGAGCGAGCTAAGGAGCGGTGCCTGGGAGAAAGCCCATCGAGGCAGCAAAAAATAAACACGAGCCACAAAGTCCTCCCTCGGTGAGGGGAAGGGATGGAGTGTCCTCAGGCAGGGTGGGGTGGATGCAGCCCCCCACCGCAGCTCTTTCCTCTGTGGAAAGGTGTGTTCCCAGAACAGTGGCAGCTGAACATGACTTGGTCAGTTGTGCTCAAGACAATCAGCAGGTTTTGTTTCAACCCCTTTCATTTACTATTCCATTCTCTCATCTTTCCACCCTGATCACCAGGTACCTGAATAATTTTTACCCTGTATCAGGCACAAATGACACCCTGGAGATGTTTACTACCAGACCTGGTCAGAAATTCTCAGACGGAATCTTTTTGTCAGAGGACAGCAGTTTGTTCAGATCTAGGTGTTTTGTAGAGATACTTCGGTTTTGGCTGACTCAGGGTGGCATCCAGGTAAATTTCCAGTTTCTCACTTTCCATCGCCAGACAGACTGGGCTGTGACACTCCCCAGCCTCTAGCATCGCCCCCTCCATGCTGAAAGGGAGCCCAGGCCTTAAAAAACACATAAATACAATCCATAGCTCCTCAGGGCTCTGGTTCTCTGATGAACCACCCCAAAATGGTGCTGAGTGGACTGCACAGCAGCTTGGCAAGCAGCAGGGAGGCTGAGACCCACCTGCAGAGTCACCAGGTGCCTCCACTGAGGCTCGTTCGCATTTATGAACTCCAGCTGCTCCCCAGCTCCTTGGAACAGCTGCCCAGGAACAAAGGGGGACAAGTTTCGGGGGACCTGGCTCCCAGACTCTGAGGTTTCGTGCTGAGATATGCTTCCCAGATTTCTCCATCCTCTCAGAAGGGATGATGGTGAGCCTGAACTTGGGAAGCCTCCGGGGCTGCTCAGCAGCTCCCAGACAGGCAGGTTCTTGCCAACCCACATTCTCATATTCCAGGTTCCAGTGCAACCCGGTGGGGAGACTCCTCGAAAGCCGTCATCCAAAAACTTCCAGTGCCTGCAGACTCAAAGCAACCAGCCGTGCAGATTGCCTTGTGGCAAGTTAGGAACCTATGGGTTCAGACAGCGTCTGAGGCTCAGAGGCAACCAGCTTGGTTTTCACAGGGATTTAAAACAAACAGCATGTTTTATGCTAAATTGACAGGACCAAATTTTGAAATATCAATATCAGGTACAAATTAAATACTCTCTTCTCTCTCTCTTTTTTTTTTTCCCCCCCCCTCCAGCATTCTCATATTATTCCCCAACATGCATTCCCTGAGTGTCTTGAATTTTGGAGGCTCACCACTAAAATTTTGGAACCTTGCCCTGACCCAGTTTTTGGCTGCCTCAGTTGAGATGCCTGAAGAGAGAGATGTGGAACCCCTGTAGATGATCCCAACATCATATGAGGAAATACTTCCACAATACCTCAAAAACAATGCAAAAAAAAAAAAATTGATACCAATTACACTAAAATCAGGGTGCCTAAATTAGTGACTGTTGCTAGTGCTGTTGACTTGCTGCATAGTTGTGTTTTTCTGAAAAGGCCTAGTTCCTGATAACTGGTTATCAGTTAAGAATATGAACTTTCATTTTAAACATTTATTTTCACAACTTTAGAAAATAACTTGAATATGTGAACCAAGTTAAACACAGATGGTAAAGCTAAATACATTTTTAATGTAGAAATATGTACTTATTACAATTTTAAATGTGGTGATGTTTGAAGTAATCTTTTTCTATTTTCCTAATTCCTGGCCCAGCACATTTTGCATTGAAAAACAGCCTAGAAGAAGACTGAGCCCGAAGGATCTGTCCCAGATGTATCAAGTCAATACTATGTCAGGGTGATCTCAGTGCAGATTTCTGCTGGGGACCGTATCCTTTTCCTTCTAGCTGTTCTGGCTAGAAAATGGTGGGGACCGTTCCTTTATTCATCTAGAAAGTTTGCAATAATACTCAAATCTCATCTCTACACTCAGAATTCATGCTGTGACCTCAGTTTATCAGGGCTTCCAGAATCTTCTGTACATATTCATGGGCTAATCTTCACTCCCTTACAGTCATACTGCAAGCCATCGACTGAGTAAATTTGAATAAGGGGAAGGAGGGGAAGAACTGAGTGGTTTGCTCACGCTTGTACAGTGATTTAGTGGCAAAGGGTGAATAGAATTTGCTGAACGCTAAACCAAACTGGGTCTCACCACTTGCTTGCAATCTCATAAATGAGACGTAGGCAGCTAAATCACTGATCTAAACCCTAGGCCACAGCAGCATTGTCAACACTACTAAAAATAAACAAACATTTGGGTTTGGGATGCAGAATTCATGTTTAAGATTAGGGATGTTACATTTTATGGAACAGCTCGTGTGCCTGCTGGGGTTACCCGTCAGAATGAACTGTTCTATGAAAATATGACTTTCTGAACCCCTAGACAGTAATCCTTTATTTCAGAGAGTTTTGGACACTCTCATAGTGGAAAAACTAACAGACAGGAAAAGACAGGACCGTCCCAGTTTTGCATGGTCTGGATCCCTTTGCTGGTTTACAAAATGTCTGATGTCTTGGAAGCCACCTCTAGGCAGGATAAGTTTATGCATTTATTTGTGATACAATTCTTTCTTTGCTTTTTAAATGTCATTATCTGTGCTTGTTTGTGTCATAGTACAGGTTCGGGGACTTCACTTACTACAGTTTGCCCTTACTGAAAAATAAAGATAGATATATATATATAGTGTGCAATAATGTGAGAAAACCATATACTTGGTTCATACACTTGAAGAAAAAATTGATGTACCTTTTACGGCTATCTTGCATTTCTTAACCTTTTACTAACACACTAGCACCTTAACAATTACTATAAAATAACCTCTAGATACCTTGTTTATTAATAGGATCAATCAATGAATAGGAACAGAATTAAAACTTTACTTCCACAAAGAGAAAAAGTGGGCTCTGATTCAGGAACAATGTAAAATTAGCATGAGAAACAAGAAGGTGTTCTCTGAAGCTCATGCACATGCATATGTAGCTTTATTAGGAATATTTTTAACAGCTTCAGAGTCTGAAGAACAGCTTCTGTGCTTCGCTCCATGTTCCCTTTATACCCCTCAAGTAGTGAGAAGGGAGCAAAGACACGAAGCCGGTTCCCTCAGCTGCTGCCGCTCGCCCCGACACCCCTTGCGCAGGCAGGGGCGTGCTGGAACAGGCAGGCTGGAGGAAGCGTGGCCGGAGCGACTGTTCACCGGCTACGCAGCCAGCAGACAGCTCTTAGGGGAGCCTGGTGCCTGCTGAAACAGCTCCCAGGCTGTCTTAACATGCAGTTGTGGCTAGTTTGAAAATCAGGGAGTGGTTGAGAACCCGCCTCTAATGTACTGCCCCCATCTCTTTCACTGACTGACTGAAATATTAAGTATAATTTCCTATGTCGCCATTACCTGTGCGTGGAAGGGAATTTTACAGTGGCGCTGACCAAGACAGCTGAGAAGCAGGTGGACAACCTGTGAAGTTCACAGCAGATGGAGATTTACTAGAGCAGCTAAGAGGGCTGTGAGCCCCTCAACTGCTTTTGCTCCAGATTACGCAAGTAGCAGCCACGATAAAGGGTGAGATAGGCAGCAGCAAAAATTAGGAGATTGTTTTAAATTGGGTTATATTCATGTTGACTTGTAAATAAGGGCTATGACATTTAACTTTGAATCTATGTCACATATAATATGCATAAACAAGGGAAAGCGTGGGAGCTTTCCTTGGTTAAGGTAATATATATATATATGTAGAACAGCATTTATATGCAAGCAAACCTATCTCAATCACTCAGAACAAACCTACAAGAAAATCACTTTCGGCGTGAGTCACAAAAAAAGCAAGGTCATTCTAAGTTAATGTCTTCAGAGTTAACTTCAACACTGTGAAACACACAGCTCAGGCAAATCCTTTCAGGGTACAGCAATTATTCTTCTCTACAAAATTCATAATAATTAATACACACAAACTAATTCACCTGCATGTTCCAAGAGGCTCAGCAGTGGAAAAAGCACACAACCACCTCCAACCAAAGGTCTAGTTAAGCCAGAATCTTGTTTGTGACCGTGGCAGTACCTCTTGCCCAAGGAAAAAATACAAGGTGTCAGCAGCATGTCCAGAGTGATCCTTCTTCTAATACACTTGCCCAGTTTTTGGCAATTATTTCTGGAGGCATTCCTGAGCTGGAGTTGATCTCCCCAGAGAACCACAGATAGGC